ATACTTAACATAAAATGTGGTTCGTTTCCACTTATTTGATTAGTTTGTACTACTTGTGTACATTCCAAAGATACCTTTAGAGAATTTTTTTTGCTAACACAATGTTGAAAAAAATGCCTACAAAATCAGATGGATTATTAAAATTTTTTGATAAGGAATATTTTTTTTGCTTTATTAATCGCTTTATTAATTTGTTAAGTCTTGTATCCTGAATCTTTCCCATCAATTCTTTTTTTATTTTGTTTTTAACAGCCACATAATGTAAATAGGTTTAAAATTATTACTCAAATTACTTAAAGATTGTTTGGCATTAAATTTGCTCAAAAGACAGTTCTAAGAGTAGTAAGAAGTCGAATTTCTTCTTTTGGTTCTTCTAACTTTGTTTTAAAAAAAATTTTTTTGTCACATTCCATACCGGAGATGACAAAATAAAAATTAAGTTGAGCAAGGAATACTTTTAATTTTTAAGATTCTTCTATATTACAAACTTTTCTACAACTTTTTGCAATGAAATCCATGCTTTTATAATTAAACTTATTAAGTTATTAAAAGCTTAATTTTTTTTTGGCATAGTTAAATTTGTTCTCTATTTTTTCCTTTATACTTTGGTTGAGACACATAGCTTTATCCTTTTTGATAACTGCTTTTCTTTAACCATATTTGTTTTTTATCATTGGTTTTTGAACAGTCAAGTAATTCTTTTCTTACTTCATTAGTTTTACTATTTAGTCATTCTTATGTTTGATTCTGAGACCAAACTGTTGAAGCCTAGAAAGTTTGAATAATTGCATTTGGTTTTATGCGTACCATTAAATTACAATGCCAACTTGCTATTTTTGCAATGCTTCTTTAACTTTCTGATGTTATCAACTAGTTGAGTATCTTTTTTAGCTAATGATTTTTTACAACAAAGCAGTTGAACATTACACAAAACAGTTAATGTAAATTATGTAATACAATTACATTCTAATTTACAGTTTAGTTGTTTATATATCAAAACAATATAAATACTTTTTAAATAAAATACACAATGTTATATATGCAATTTACAATGTAACTTACAAAATGATAAAACTTACTGACAAATTTCCGATGATTTAATTGAATTTAAAATGAAAGTATTTACATTTGTACACAATACTATGCAACTACAAAACTTTCAATGAGTGTCTTTCATTGAAAGACACTCATTGAAAGTTAAAAGGATTTTGTATAAAAAACAATGAAGTACAAGATTATTTTATAAGAAATACAAATAATTATCACTTAAAAACCAGAACAAGGAAAGCGGACTAAAGTCTATCTTTTGCAATGGGATAAAGTTTTACAACAAATTGCCAAATGAATTTAAATCTCTTGACATGAAGGGATTCAAGAATCAAGCCGTGAAGCTTTTAAATAGCTGTTAACAGGTTGATCATAATCATCATCATCATCATCATCATCATCATCATCATCATCATCATCATCATCATTATCATCATCATAATAATAATGACAATTATTATTATTATTACTTTTCAGTAAGTAAATAATAATACTATAAAACTGAAAAAAAAAATATTTCAGTAATCATTTTTTTTTTGAATATAGTTAATAAAAAAACCTATACAACAAATAAAGCTAGATATATCACTCTAATTATTCTATATCTATATATTTTTTCACAAGTAAAGTCCATCTACGTGCCCATTTTTTTCCACATACAAAGTCTAACGCACATCTTTGAGTGCGCTTACTGTTAGTAAAACGGGGGCAATTTTACAAATCACCAGTTGAAAAACAAAAAACCCACCCTAATTAAACATTAGAAAAAAAAATTAAAAATACATACATATTATTAATAAATAGTTGCAGAACCTACTTTCGTGTGAAGATGGATAAATTATCTGATTTAACTGGTATTTTAACAAAGTTGAATCATTTAAATGTAAATAACTTTTTAATTCAAAAGTAGAATGTCGTCTTCACTTCAATAAATGTTCTACATTTTTTTCTGAAAAAAAACCATACCAAAACATGTATTTAAATTTGTAGTTTTTATGGTTGGGTTTTCATTTTTCGACACCTACCTAAAATCGTTTCATGCATTTTTTGGACGAAATTTTTCAAAAACAAACTGCGTTTTTTTTTCCCGCAATTTAAAGTCACGTGACTAAACATCCTAGTTATAGTCGCATTACTTTTACCAGATTACAATAGTAGTTAAAATAATCTTTCCACACATACCAAATATGTCACTTTTTGATGAAAAAACTTACATATATTGAAAATACTTATATTTTTATTCGGAAAAACGTGTATCAGCCCTTAGTTGCATTGAGCTGCACCATATGTTAATTTAAGACTGGTTCAGCAAATACTGTAATTATTATATAAAAATTTGGAGTTCAGATTGGTTCAAATTCAATTACAGGACTATAAAAGATCGAAGAAACACGTATTTAAAATGCAGAATAAAAACTAACTACGACAGCAAAAAATAGCAGAAATTAAAAAAAGTCGTCTCACTTTACAAGCTAAAAATAAACCAACAAAAACATATTAGGCTTGAGCATTTGGACTTTTTAAGAAGCCGGAAATTGATTTTGTTTTTGTAAATACAGGTATTTCTGTGGAATTTATTTTAGATGATGAGCCATTAATATTCAACAAAATATTTTCTGTTTTGACTTTATTACTAATTTTTATATTAGTTACTTTCTCACTGATATTCGATAAAGCTAATTGATTTAACTTTTGCCAAGAGAATATAAGATCTTCCGCTTGATGAGGTTGTAGTTTCCCCCGGTTTTTGAAAAAATATATATTTTAGTCAAATTATCGAAGTCTTTTCTACTATTTATGTATATGAAAACTTATAAAGTTTTACTTAACGTTAAGCACAAAGTATGTAGTTTTATGTAAAAACTCAGTTATTTTTTGTTCCCACAATACTGCCACCTTTATTTTTATTGATGAGTGTTTAAAAATGTTTTACGATGCGCTTTTCATTTATCAAGTGCCGCATGCTTTTACATTTAAATGCTTTTACGCAAATACATGGCATTTGTCTTTACTTTGATAACATGAAAAATGCTTTTACACTGATAACGTCGCGTATGCGTTTAAATCGATAACGTGAGTTATCGATTTATAATCGCTTTATCAACTTTTATTTTACAGTTAAAAGAGTTTTTCAGATACCGGGATTTGGTTTTCTTTTCTATAAATATGTTCCTCAATTGAGACTTATTGTTTATTTACTTACTACATTTTATTGCAAAGTTTTATCATAAAACCATATTTTAAAATACAGTTGAGAAAATTTAAAACTTGTATACATTTTGTATTTGAAGTTAGTCAATGTATATCATATGAATATAAACTAATTTATAAGATGTGGTGTGTTAAGTCAGTCATTTTTATATCAATTAAATTAAAATTTATCGCGTTTAAAGTCAAACAATCTTTTGATGTTTTCTTTATGAAATCTTTTTTTAAATTTAACTAAAAATGAAAATTTTTAGTTAAATTAAAAAAATCATTTCTATTAATAAACTTTTGACAAAAAAAAACGTCTAGAACAAAATTTTTTGTGAACCATCCCTCAAATCAATAACTGATAAAATTCATATCCTCCTTTCCTTCTATTATGATGACACAATAAATCAATAAACGTCTTCAAAGGCTTCCGAAAAGTATTATTTTGCTTTTTAAAGTTTTATAAAAAGGTTTTAGTGATTAAAAAAAAATCTCAAAAAACGCAGCATTAAATTGAATATATATTGAATACTCATTTTGCCGTTAATACGTCATAACACAAGGTTTAAAATTTTCAATATTTTGTATGAAAAATGAACTTTTAATTTAAATTATGAAGTGTTTTGCACTATATAAGTTATGTAAAGTATAAATTTAGCAAAAGAAAAAAGAATAAGATGGAGCAAAATGAAGTTATAGGAGGAGAGAAGGAAGTTAAAAGAACCTTTTTTTAAATCTTTTAATCTTGAAGCCTGAAATATAAAAAATGATTTATATATATATATATATATATATATATATATATATATATATATATATATATATATATATATATATATATATATATCTATATATATATATATATATATATATATATATATATATATATATATATATATATATATATATATATATATATATATATATATATATATCTATATATATATATATATATATATATAAATGATTAATATATGGTGATAAAGTAATAACTTAACGTTTGTTTATGTCCCTATAGCATTAATTAGCATAAAGTTCTTCACAAACTTCTGCAATATTTACAAACTAAAAACTACTTTTGTCGCATTCAATTTTACAAAGTTCTGAACAATTCCTCTTCATTAAATATTTTTGTGAAACTCATATGCAGAAGCGACAATGACTGATAGTTTATACTAAATTTAAAGAATGTTTATCTTGATGAAGGAGGATATATAGAATAGAAAGGAGGGCCTATGGGGGTTCTTCACAAAATACAAAAAACTACAAAACGAAAAACTGAGAACATGTTTTAACACAAATTTAAACATGTTTGATAAGTTGGATGTGCATTTCTATGAAAAATTAAAATAATGAAAAAATAATATTAATAACAATAATAAACAGATTCTACAAACATAAAGGTTTCACACTTTATCAGTGATGAGCTATTCGAAAATATTTTTTATTGCCAGCTTTTTTTTTTGTTTTAAACAAAATATGCTATTGTTTGTTTGTTTTCTGATTAAAAAAAAAAAACATTCCTTTTTTTCGCTGTTGAGTTTCAATGCAACGATAGCAATGCGAATAAATGCATAGTTTACTTTTTCCCAAAGGATTTCTTTCAGACCCCTTTTTTCTTTTACTCATTTGTGATTTAATTTTTTCAAAAGCAAAAAAGAATTTTAAATACAAATAATAGGAAAAACAGAAATAATAGAAATATGATAACAAAACAATTTCACGCAGCTGTTAAATATATAATTTAAAGAAAACTACCAAAATATGAAAGGCTCAATAACGAAAATAAGAAAAACTAAATAACAATGTGTTAAACATTTTTTTATTTGTTGCTTGGTAAATAATTGCTTTAATGTGAATTGGTCTCCCGTGTGTAAGTAAATTAAATCCCAATATATTTTTACAAAGCAAATATATATATTTATATATGTTTTTACAAAACAAAAATGCACACACACACACACGCATATATATATATATATATATATATATATATATATATATATATATATATATATATATATATATATATATATATATATATATATATATATATATATATATATATATATGTATATATATATATATATATATATATATACATATATATATATATATATATATATATATATATATATTTATATATAAATATATATATATATATATATATATATATATATATATATATATATATATATATATATATGTATATATATATATATATATACATATATATATATATATATATATATATATATATATATATATATATATATATATATATATATATATATATATATATATATATATATATATATATATATATATATATATATATATATATATATATATATATATATATATATATATATATATATATATATATATATATATATATATATATATATATATATATATATATATATATATATATATATATATATATATATATATATATATATATATATATAGACACACACACACTTTTATGTCAATTTTTAAAACTTTGATTAGTTAATAAACTTGTTTATTAATTATTTTCCGTTATCTTATAGTTTGTTTCACTTAAAAAACGGAATAATTAGTATCCAGGCTTTAAAGATAGCTTCTTCTACCAAGCTTTTATGCTAAAAACCTGTGCTTAG